GGTCAAGTCAAAGTCGAGTAGAAAATATATATTTTTAATCAAATTAGGTATGATGGAGGATATATAATTTTCGGGTCGAGTAAGATTCGAATCAAGAATACATATTTTTGATCATGTCCAATTAACTAAAAATCTGACCCAATCCGACATGTTATTATCTCTCTCCTTATGAATTTTTCTTATGAATGTAACCGCACCTTTTAATTTTTAGTTTATAAGAATTTAATTATTTATTAAATTTAATCTATTAAATGACATTTTTTTTCACGTATGTATTGTCGATAATGTAATGAATTAAAAAATTATGAACATATATTAACTTATAGTCATCTCGAATTAAAAAATAATTAATATTTAAAAAAATATTATTAACTGCATATTACATAATATATATTTATAAATTTATACTTTCATATTACATCGAATAATTTAAAATAGATTAGTGTGATAAAGCAATCAAAATATATTTATAAAATCTAATTATAAAATATCGATGCTCATTTCAACGACCCTGTTAATACTTAATTATGTTTATATATTTTTTGCACGAGTTATGAAGGGTATTAAAATAAATTCTAGTAAGTTCCTCAATTTTTTGGAATTATATTATCTAAAAAACTAATAATTGATGTTTAAAATGTTTTTTTTGGTAAACACGAATCAACTTACTTTAGTAGTTAAATGAATTGTTATTGTTCATAAAGGTCACGGGTTCGAACACTAATGACTGTAGTAAGGTGATTGAATATTTACTGTCAAATAATTAAGAGTATTTAAAACAAATATTACTTTACAATCACATTAAACTTAATAAAAAATATTTTTTTTGGTAATTTGATATAATTAAATGTCCAAAAGAAAATACTTATGAAGATGGTGGTGACGCTGGCTTAAGGTGGTGTGCACATGGGTTAGTGATAGTGGTTCAATCATCAATGCACCATTAGACGAAAGGGCACATGAACCACTCACTACCTCAAATATATTCCATGTATAAGATTTACTGAGGTCCGAGATTGAGTATGGTGAATGTTAAAGGTTTTGAGCGTTTAGTTAAATGATTAAAAGTGTTATTTAAATAAATATGGTTTTATATTTATCTCAGATTAATAAAAAAATATTAAAAAAATTAATGGTTTCCTAGTGCGTGAATGCCAAGTACATGTATAAATTAAGTGATTTTAGTTGTTAATTAAAGAAATTATGATTTCTATAAGTATCGAATTTGAGCATGACGTCGAAAGAGGTGTTTGAGCATTCATTGTCAAATGATTGAGAATCTTTCAAACGAATACTATATTATAATCATCTCAGACTAATAAAAAATATTTAATACATGTAATTCAAATACTTTAAAAATTGAATACTCGGATTTTCAAGTTATAAGTATCATATTCATATTTATATTTTAAGCTAAATTTATACTGTTTTTTTTTCAAACAATTTGAGAAGAAATTTAGAAGGTTAGGGTGAAATAAATTAATTAAGTATTTATAATGTTATGGTGAAATAATTTGAGACTCGGTAATGAAAAATCTAATAAAAGATAAAGAATCAAGTTGTCGGACACCAACTAAGGTAAATATCATGGTTATCAAAACCGGACCGATTCAAGGTTAACTTCCAAAACCAGATTCGCAATGAACCGGTAGAACCGGTAAAACTGGTGTGAATCGGCTGAAAACCGATAAAACCGGTGTGAACTGTCGGTTCTGTTTTTTTCTTTTTTTAAAAAAAATTAAACCAAAAGACGTCGTTTGTTAAACAAGCCGAGTCGAACTCGAGTATTGCTGAGCTCGACTCGAACTCGAATACTTTAAAAGTAAGTTCAACTCGACTCAAAAACTCACAAGCTAAAAATTATCAAGTTCAACTCGAACTCGAAATATAATATTGAAACTTGAACTCAAAAAGGCTCGAACTCAAAAAAATTTAGAAGCTCGATTGAAGCCTGAAATTTTAGCTTGATTGAAGCGAAATAATAGTTCGCTCTGTGCTCACCAAAAGGCTCTATGATTTTGAATACCAAATTACCTCTATTATTATAGAAGTCAGTTGGGATGCTCTTCTATGTTTCTTAGCCATGTGAGATTGTTTTGTTCTCATATTTTTACTCTTTAGACTTTTGAGATGTTCTTCTATGTTTCTTAGCCATGTTAGATTATTTTTTTAAAAAAATTAACCAAACAACATCGTTTGTTATGATTTTTTTCAGCCCCAAATTTATTTTTTGATTATATTTATATAATTATATTTATTATTTAATATGTTTTACCTTAAATATTATGTTGTAGTTGATTTGAATCATTTTATTTCACTTGATTTTATGGTTTTTAACTTATATATGTTATAACTTGTGATATTTTTATACCTTTTAATATTGTAAACTTAAAAAAATATTACATATATTATTGCTCTAAATATTATGTAAATTTTTAAAAAAATATTATTTTATATAAAATATGGTTCAAACCGATTGAACCAGTACCTTCACCGATTCAAGGTCTGGTCCAATTTTAAAAACATTGATAATATTATGGCTCGTGTTTTGACTTTTGAATATGTGAAAATTAATATATTGATACCCAACCCAAAAAATATTAAAAAAATATTTGATTATTTTTATTTGAGTTGACGAATCAATAGATCAATTATATTAGGTCAGATAATAAACTTTTATAGAATTTATATTGAAATTTAAGTGGATTGATTAATAAATTAAATATTAAATAATTATAAACAATAAAGACAAAAAATTAAATGTGATTTATTAAAGAAATGAAGTAAAATCTTAACATGTGATTAGGAGCAGGAAAGATAAAGTGATTATAAAGTACTATATGTTTTAAATACTCTTAATTATTTGGTAATAAAATTCAATTATTTTGTTGTAGTTATTGATGCTTGAACCCGTAACCTCTAGAAAAAAACAATAATTTTTTTAACTACTTAAATAAGTTGGTTCGTGCGAGAAGTTAATGTTAAGGCTCAATAAAGAGGAGGCAAAACCAACTGTGGTTGGTTCAAGTGATAAGCAGTTTGATATTACTTAAGTAAGGTTTCGAGTTCGAGTCATTGTTAATGTAAAAAATATCTATTAGGAGATTCACTCAAAAAAAATTAGATGTATAATATAATTCGAACTAAATTAATTAAGATGAAACTTTAAAATCGGATAGTAAATAAAAAAGAGAGGAGGCAAATGAGAGGGAACATGAAGCATTTTGCATAGCTGTTTGGATGGATTCCAAGCCGACCTAGTGATTAAAAAGAAAGGAAAATAAAGTTGACCCAAGGTATTGCATTCAACTAAATATCCAGCATGTTCTTTTAATATAGTTACACCTAAAAACCTAGCTGTCAATGGGAGCCGCCGCTTCCTCCTTATTCTTCAACTACGCCTCTTTAGCTCGGTTCGGCTCCTTCCATGAAGCCACATCCCCACCTTCCCACGCTACGTTTAGAGATGTATATAACGACGTAAATGGGACCAAATAGATCATGAATTATTTAAGATCAATTTGATTAAGATTTAATAAATATTTTATTCGTATAAATTTAAATTTGATTCAAATTCTTAACGAGTTAAAATAAATTATTTGATACTGAGTCGAAAAGCTTACGAGCTACTAAAAATATAATATATTAAAATTTTATTTAAAAAATAAATTAATAGTAATATTAATATTCATGTGTTGGTTTTTTAAATAACACGATATAAGATTTTCATATATTTAGGGTGTAAGTTTGAGTTAGAGGTTTCAATCGAGTTTGGTTTAATTTTTTTCACTTCGAGCTTTTACGAGTTTCATTTTCATGGTTTTGAGTTCGAGTTAAGCTTGAAAATTTTTGGCTCGCAAGTTTTCGAATGTATTCGAGCTCTATTTTAGAGTTTTCGAGTCAAACTCAACTCGCTCGTTTACAACCCTATCTATTTTGTTCGAGTTTGACGATTTTGGCTCGATTTGATTTGATCAAGTTGTTTATTTAAATTTGAGTTATTGTTAGACTATTTTCTTAAGATGTAGTTAGATCAGATTTGAGTTTATGATGAAAAAAATAGATCTGATATAATATTATAATTATCTTTATATATTTAGAGATAATTGTAATAATATTTTTATACACACATATATATATTAATTAGATCTTTATTTTACCTAATAAAAACGACTATACATATCATTTGTGTTAGATCAAATTGAGACATTTTAAACTTAGATTAAGTTAAATGCATATATATAAATTTAATTTTTGAACCGAATTTAGAATAAAAAATTAGATAAACTACACATTTAATGCATAAACTATATGTTTTAGTCTATTTAATATCTAAATTTTTAAATTTTTCAAAATCATACTTAACATTTAATTTTTGTTTCAATTTAGTACCACATTGTTAAAACCTTAACACGTTTGGTATATAAACTTATATACTCTTTTAAAAAATAGCATTAAATTTTAAACGGGAATACTAAAATGAAACGAAAACTAAAACTTCAGTGTAATTTAAAAAAAATTAAAAATTTATATACTAAAACGAACAAAAAATTGATAGTTTAGATGTTAAACGCATAATTTACGTTAAAAAAATTTCAACTACAAATTAACTGACCCTATTCTCATATATAATATGTGATAAAGGGGAGGTAGGGTAGTAGGTTATTCCCAACGCCAGGTTGAGAGCAGCTTTCGTGAAAGACCTCTTGTTATGAATTGCCCTTAGTGGGACTCGATCCCACGACCACAAAATTAAAAGCCTTGCGCTTTACCAACTGAGCTAGACGAGCTAGCCAAGCTAACAAGCCTAGCCGTTCTTTTAAGCCATCTTCTTTTTCTCAGCATTTAAAAACCTAGGTTCCAAACAACTAAAACCAGCTCCTTCGTTTCCTCTCTTCTTCATCTTTCTCCCACTTTCCTCCTCCTTTCTCCATATATAAACAGACTCTCGAAGAACAAGAGGAGGTTGAGAAAAGAGAAGAGAGAGAGAGAGATCGGAAATGGCCACTGGAGCAGCTGCAGTAGAGACGATGCTCCGGTGCGTCCTCCAAGGGAGCTTATCGATGCAAGAAATGGAGGTGGAGCGCCGCCCGTATCATCGCAACTGCAGCTGCGCTTTACACAACCTAAAAGGTAGCAGCGTTTGCTCTTCCGCTTGTTCCCGCGCCAGGAATATATCTTTTACCAAAAGAAAGACATGGAATGATTGTTCCTTGTCAATGACCAATTCTCAGTTTTCTTCTCCGTATTCTCTTATCGGAAGCTCTTCTGTTAGGAACATGGAAACGATGACATCGATGGGGTTTTGTTGCATAGATGATTATCAAAATCTGTGAGAGGGTAGGAGATAAGAGATCTGATTTCTCTTTTTCAATTTAGATGCATTAGATCAAAATTCTTTCGGGCACAGCATTCCTGTAAATTCGATTCAATTTATTGTATTTTGAGCACACAAAAAAAAAACAATGAATCTGTCACCATTTAATCTTCTCATTTCTTCCGATGTGCGCCTATTTCATGAAGTGTTTACAGCAGATCTGAGGTGCCTTGTATATATATTTGCATTCATTTTAACTGTCCTCTTTATTCTATATTGTCTGCTCCAATTAAAGGAAGGGTAAAGAAAACAAATGGTTCATATTATAAAATATTGTTTTATTAAGTGATTATTAAAAAGTTATAAAATGATTATTTGATTATTCATTATATTTTAGATTCGGTATTTAACGAAAAAAAATAGTGATTGTTTAAGCTAGATATTAGTATGATATCTGATACGATAATCATTCGAGTTTCTGAGATCAAATTTTATTATATTACAGTCAACAAGTTAACGTTTTACTCAGAATATCATCTATTTTTAATGAAAAATGAAGAGTTTGAAATATAATGAATAGTCAGATGATTATTTTATAACTTTTTAATAGTCAAATAACTCAACAAATCAACAATTTATAATTGAAGAATCATTTTATAACTTTTAATAATCGAGAGATTTAATAAAATAATAGCCTGTAATCGGGACTATTTGCGTTATTTACCCTTAAAAGAAAAGGAAAGGAAGCTAATTTAAGGTAAATAACCGGGGCTGTTGGATGAAAGATAGATTTTGAAGAATTGATCTCAACTATACAAAAGGTCACTACACTATTTGAAATTGTTATTAAAAATTGAATTTGAAAAGATAAAATGTCAATTGTAGACATTATGTTATAAATTAAAAATATAACATTTAAATTATATTTAAATTTATTAATGCTATGACATATAAAATAAATCAATATAAACTATAATAAAAATATAAAAAATATTTTAAGATAACTTATTAATAATATTTTATTAAGAAAAAATATATATTATCAATACTTTTTAAATAATTTAAATGCTTATTTTGATAAAAAAGAATATTAAAAAAATATTAGCAATTAAAATAAATTATTAAGTAACAAATTATTTTTTAAAGGATGTTAGTATTAAATTATTAAAATAAAATATAAACACATAGTTGAGTGGAGGCCATGCATTAGTAAGGACAAAATTATAATTTACTTCCAAACGCAAAGTTTAAACTAAAAAGCTATAAATCCTAATTTTTGCGGTTGGTTCGAAACCGCCGTTTTCACCATATTTTTTTTATTTTTTCCCGTTTGACATTGATTTTACGGTTGAAATGGATTTTTTTTTTTTAACCTAAAAGTGCTTGCAAATGAAGCCTTAAGGTTGTGAGCCACCCGATTAGTCTCTTGGTTGATATTGAATACATTAAGGTTCGGGCCTCGTGGAATCATCAAGGATGACACTCGTCTCATTGAGCAACAATCCAATCATCAAAACATCAATTTAGTCGTTTGAAAGTCTATAAAGTTAAAATAACAATATATTTTAATAAATTTAAGGATCATCTTGTAACATTTTAATAAACACTAATGGTCATTTCATAATATTTGAAAGATCATTGGCCTAAAAGATTATTGGTAAATTACTCATTTAGTACTTAAACTATAAATTTTAGTATGTTAATGTACTTAAACTTTCAATTTTTTTCAAAATCATACATAAAGTTTAGTTTTTGTTTCATTTTAGTACCACATTCAAAATTTAACGTTAAATTTAGAAAAATGGAAAGTTTAGGTACTAAAACGGAATAAAATTGATAGTTTAAGTACTAAACGCTTTAAATTTTTAACGGCGGAGATCTAAAATGAAAACTAAATGTTAGATATAGTTTTTAAAAAAATTGAAAATTTAGATACTAAAATAGACAAAACTGATAGTTTATATACTAAAGAAGTAGTTTACCAAAGTTTATTTTTACAGTTTCCCGGTTTCAAGTAAATCCCTACTCTCTTATAGTGGGTTTAGTTTTGGACCGAATATCTTGAAGGCCCAACTTTGTAAGCCTGTCCTTATGAATGGTAACCTATTAGATATTTAGGGTTTCTCATTCCAAAACCCCCATTTTTCATGGTCTTCGCCTGCAGCCGCGCTAAATTTTAGAGGGAGAGAGATAGAGATAGAGAGAGTTCGTCAACCATGGCCGAGCAGGTTCGTTCTCGGATCCATGGTTCCCTCATTTACTCTCTTTTCTTTGTTTGTCATCTTTCTGAAGTTTTTAATCCTTTATTGTTCGTTTCAGACTGAAAAAGCGTTCCTTAAGCAGCCAAAAGTGTTCCTAAGGTAATCTCAAAACCGAAAATGTTGAAACATCTACTTTTTACTTTTTTTTCTGATTCGGATTTTATCGTTTTCAGCTCCAAGAAATCCGGTAAAGGCAAAAGACCTGGTAAGGGAGGGAACAGGTATTGGAAGAGTATTGGTTTGGGCTTCAAGACTCCTCGTGAAGCTATTGAAGGTATTTTTCTTTCTAGTTTCATTTTCTTTATGGTTATGCCGATTTGTGTACATGTATTGGTGGAACCATGGATGATCAGTTTGTGCACAAGAAGTTCACTGTTTCTTGCAGTTTAGAGTTTAATTTGAGTGGAAGCTTCTCTGAGGCCATTCTAATTATATGTTTTCGAAATGGATCCTTTATGATTCAATACACCTGGAAATGTATTTCACTATGATTTACTTGATTGACTCCTAGCATACGATGTAGGGAGGGTATGTAGGGACGAATTAGGATTAAACATTGGGAGGGGCCAACTTGCTTAATTTCAAAAGAACATGGACCTTTTGAAGATTTCAACCCAAATATTGGAGGGGGCAAGGCTTAGTTTAATCAATACTTGAAGTAATAGGGACCTAAAATGTTATTTGACAAAAAATGGGAGTGCCTTCCTAGTACTGCATAGTTCCCTCCCTGTATATGTGTGCATGTATAACATGTTTCTATGCTTTTAGAAGTTCAGTTGATGCCCAGATTATGGTTGTTAGTTGTTATTTGATAATGTTTTGCATATTTGTTTGCTAAAGAAAACTACATCGACAAGAAATGCCCGTTTACCGGCACCGTTTCCATCAGGGGTCGCATCTTAGCTGGTACTTGCCATAGTGCTAAGATGGTCAGGACAATCATCGTTCGACGGAATTACCTTCATTTCATCAAGAAATACCAAAGGCATGATCCATCTCCATCTCTCTGTTCGGTACCATGTGTTTAAAATCTCTTTTTGAAGAAAGGTTTCATTTTTTTCCAGGTATGAGAAGCGCCACTCAAATATCCCGGCACACATTTCTCCTTGTTTCCGTGTGAAGGAAGGGGATCATGTCATTATCGGGCAATGCAGGTTAAATTTATACACTGAGGGATTGCTATTATATTCATGTATTATATAACCTTTTACGGCGTAGGCAATTCCGGTTTGTAATTTGTTTGTGTTGTCTCATAATTTCAGGCCATTGTCGAAGACCGTCAGGTTCAATGTTTTGAAGGTGATTCCCGCCGGATCTTCCGGCGGTGGGAAGAAAGCCTTCACCGGAATGTGAGGGGCAAATGATATTGTGTTTTGGATATTGGGAAGTTATCAAGTGTTATTTACTCTTGTTTTTCTTTCACTTTTATATGGTACTTGAATAGGCTTGAATTCCTGTTACCTTAGTATGATCATGTTTTCGAAGAAATAATGTTTCACTTTTTATATACAATGGGATGTTCTAATCTTCTCTATGTTTTTTATTTTTAATATTTTTTGTGCGAACTAAAGGATTTTCGCGATAATATGATATTTTATGAATTTCCATATTTTTATATTAGGCTTAAGGGTATTTTTACCTTTGCCGCAAATATAATTTATCAATTTCATCCATATTAATTTTTTACACCAGGTCAACTCTCGAAGTTGTTTAGGGTGTTTAATCTAGTCTTTGAGGTTCGTTTTGACTAATAGAATTGTAATCTTCTGTGTTTATCAACGTTAATAATTTTTGTATCAGCCAATATTGTTGATGTATTAAAAAAATAAATAATAAAATATTTACTAAATACAATGTTAAAAAAATTTTCAAAAATTGATCTAATCCCTCATCAATGAAATAAATAATAAAATTTTAGGAATTTGTTATAAATTGTGTTTAATACAAACAATTTCGAGAGTTAAATTAAGTTTACTGCAAAATCAAAAGTGACCTATATTATTTCTTTTAAATATTTGATGCTTTTTATATAATAAATTTTTTTGTCTTTATTTTAAATAATATTTTTTAATATTTATATTTTTATGGTTTTTACTAATTTTAAGTTTTATTTTTATTTTATAATTGAATATAATGTTTTCCTTTTTCGACTATTATAAAATTCTTACTATTTTTTACTATTCATTAATGCAGTAATTTTATAATTTTTCATATGTTATCTAGTTAATCAGCTGGTTTAATTGGCAAGTCAATGTATGTCAATAAAATGATAAACTTGGTTGATTTTTTTAAAATTTTAACTGTTTTTTTCTAGCATAATTGATTTTCTATAACTACTTTCGAAACCCTCGGCCTTTAATAGTTGCATTTGTTTCAAATTGTTATTCATGATAGTTGATTAAACATTAATTAAAATGACATGCAAGGGTAAACTAGATAATCCCCTGTGTGTTTTCGGTCTAACTAACTTTGGTCAATGATTTAAAAATTAAAAGGGAATGATCCCTAACATTATCGATCCGTTCGATTTTAGTCTTTCAACCGTTAATTCATGTTCGTTCGAATTTAATCACGAATGTCTGCCATCCCAAAAATTTCACCTTTAATAAATTTGGAGATAAAAATGAAATATAGAAAAACTACTTGATCCAGCTTTGGATTGCACAAAAATGAAGTTTGGAATGGAGTTCAAATTCCCTATCATCAACTATGAAAATGTCACTTCTCATTTGCAATCAAAGAATAAGGGGGTATACCACATTTAACAGGAAGTCATGCCCCCGTTCACGATCACTCGAATTCGGTAAATCGCGACCTTCATAACCACAAGAAGAATCGTTAATCCAGCACCTCTTGATTCGTTACTCCGTCTGCAATGATAAGCCGTTTAATTGGTAACGTGATGATCAAGAAATACTAAACATCTGGAATTGCCGTAAACTGTGTTCTGAGACTCGTCGTTACATCGAACATGCAGTTCCGACTCACCTTTTTTATTGGACAGGAAGAAAATTTTAGACCATATTGCTAATAACATGAATTTAGCCTAAGCTCACATCCTGTGTACACGATTTTGCACGTATTTTGGGCAAAAGATGTGTTGAAAACAGTACCTTCTGACGCTTTGAGCTTGGTGGGTTTGGTTCGGAGTTGCTAGGTCTACGTGAATTCCCGGTCCTAGAGCTCTCAGCCTGCAAATGAAGCAGTATTTAGCTTCTTCATACATTGATCTTAACGTGTTCGATCACGGAAGGAATTGGCAAGAACCTCAATCAAACAAACATTTATGGATCAGGTCCGATTCATGGAAAAGGCATGCTTACCTGAGTGGATCTATTTGCTTCTTCTGTAGACGCGGCACTTTGTTGCAATCCCGCATGCTGAGATATGTATGGCAGAATCTGATGAAGCAGATTAGATAAAAACACCCCTTCATCAGTGATACATGGCTCAGGTGCTGCGCTATCACGGGATGTTCCTGATTGCTCCAGGACCGTATCGGTTGCTGTTCCTTGTAAAGTAGTTTCCTCTACCTGGATTTCACCACCAGGGAAAAAGTCTCTTAAAAACTGAAGAATACTACTAGGAATTGGCCTCTCGGACTCTTGGTTGTTTTGAGTTCTGCTGGCACTGCGTGTATTCGACCGCTCCTGTTGTCTTGAGTTAGCATTTGGTAATGACCCTACAATGCGAAGGAATTTAATATTCAATTTTTTATTCGTATCAGAACACACATCCTTATTAGCATGTTTAGGTGCTGGATCTACATATTACCATCTCTTGCAGACTCTTCTGAACTTTGATGTTGCACTGCAGATTCAGGAACAGGATGCTGCTCGGATTGAGATCCCCGTTCACCACTCAAATGTCCAGGAGAGACATGCTGGAACCTTCCGAGCAATGGGTAGAATAATCCCCCAGAATTACTGGAAGAATCTGATGGTACACGACCCAAAGGGGCAGGTACAGCTGCAACCATGGTCCTAATAGGCACTACCCTCACTCCTGAAGGAGCATCTGAGACCCTTGAAGTTGTTTGAGTGCTATGATTCTCACTGCCAGAACCCATTGATGGGTTCCTTTGGCCCGATTGTTGTGACGTATCATGATGTTCTTGTCGAACATTGGGTGTTGAAGTCGTTGAACCTTTGGTAAAATATACCATCAGTCTTTGGCCAGAAAATACAATATCTAACATAAATATTAAAAAAAATAGCCAGTTATACCATACCTCTTCGTATTTGTATATCAATACGCCTAGGAAGAAACCCCGTCCCAAGTCCATTAATCACACCAGAACCCGGCTGTACAGTTCCCATGGGGATGGTACCTAAGCTAGTTCCTGGTTGAAAAGGAAGAGCCTGAACAAGTATTCATAAATCAGCATAAATTAAAATTTATTTACATCAAATAAGAAGGTTCGGGTAAGCTGTTGAAACATTGCCTGAACCATGAGCGGGAGTGGACCAGTAGGGGTTATGAAAAATGCAGGTCCAGCATTAACAACAGCTTCAGACTGCAAAAGAAGTAACTTACAGCAACATCGAGAACAGATGATATATAAATAGAGAGTTAAATGCTTTGGATTTATTTAGAATGAAATTAACTTACAGGTGTTTGACCTAAGCGAAGTGTCATGGTTGTACGACCGAGCTCAAGCAAAAGTGAGCCTACGCTTTGTAGCAGAGTTCCAGTTCTCCAGGCATTGGACTGCACATTCGTTTGTGCTGAGGCGTCAGTCACAATAGCTTGATCCTCCAGTTGCCTTGCAAGTTGCTGACAACAGGCATAACAAAACAAAAGTTAAGAACTTCAAAAAAAAAAAAAATCTAGTAGGCGAGGACAAACAACAGCCCTTTCCTCGATTTCCCCCCTTTCAGACCAATACTTACACCTCAACGAACAAGGAAAGCTGTTAGATATACAGGTAAACTTTAGGGAAAGAGTGAAAAGGTAGTTAAGGACACACTTGTATACGTTCTCCAGCTTGATCGATGAGCATTTGCCTGGTAGAGAGCAACACTTCGGTCAATGATTCAGGTGTTGGAAGACCTTCCCTTATAGTCCCTGAATTTGATGCAGGAAAAGAATCTCTATCTCCACTCCTCGCAGAAGCTGTCTGAGGATTATTTCCCCCGACTCGAACTGGCAGTCAAATGAGTCGTCAATCATCAAACCCATGCTTTATATGACAGAGCTAATATGATTACATTTTTAGAAAAGAAAACTAACCAATGCCATCAAATTCATTCTTTATATGACTAAGATATTGAGACAAAGTAGACAGAGAATCGGGAATTACCTGCAGAAATGAAGAATTAATAAGAGTGCAATAGCTTGAGCCACAAATAGGTGTGCCATAAGGTATATTTCATGTGGAAATCCACTTGACACATAAAAGAGAAATAAATTATTAAAAAGAATATGGAACTCCAAACCGACAGGAGGTTGCGTAGGCCCCAAGGAAACTGCTGCTGGAAGTCCAAAAGCAGTGTGTAATCTATCAGATTGATTCCTCATGCTAGCTTGTTCAGTTTGACCCTGGGATGATTCTCGTATGCCACTACTGGAACTTCTTCCGTGTCTTTGTGAACCATGTTCCTTTGGTATTCATAAACTCCGAAGAAGTAAGTTTTTACGAATTTATGCATGCATGCATAAAGATTAACACAGATATTAAAGCATATAGAAACATTTAGATTTTTGAGAAGGCCAAACTTTTTCTAACACAACATTTCATCCTGTAAAGCCACGGCCCTAAAAGGACTTCGAAAACTAAAATTTTGGATCTTTCACTCCAGTGGATCACTTTCTCAAGTTATTTATTTCATGCCCATGCAGCTGAATATATTTTAAACTAACACAAGCTCGACCATTAAATATCATATAAAAATCGAAAAATTAAGACTTACCCTGACATCACCCCCAATATTTCCACTTCCCGAATTTGCAACTCCCATAGAGCTAAGAAAGTCTCGGACGATCCGCTAGGAGGAAAGAACGCAGTTAAAACTAAAAATATATTCTAAAGAGATATACTTCCCTTATACTCCAGAATTGTTATCCATTTCACAGCTAGTTGAAAGCTTACCAAAGCCATTTCAGTAGTAAATTCATCCCCTTGATCAGGCACATTAAACGTTTCTATTAGAACACTTGGGACATGATTACTATGACTTGTACCTAATCCAGGATCATCTGCAGAAATAATAGTGCTAAATGTTAGTTAATAACTAAATCCTAACGAGCTTTTTCCTCCCATTTTGGAAACACGAGCAATGCACTATAATTAATACTAAAACCATTTATTATCAAAACAAACTGAACACAGTTTGCACTGGAGAACGGAGAGAGGCATAAAAGAATAATAGGTTAACATCAGCTCTTACATTTCAATTGCTGAACAGCTTAACGGTTAAAATTCTACTCACTATATAAGAACATTCTCATGCCATTGAAAGGAAAAACATGTTCTTCTTGTGAATGTGTGTGTGAAAGGCATATGCTCATGCTATGTTTGCAGTTGCACACAATTTAAAAAAATAGTACTGGATACTCGAGGGTAGCGAAACCTGAATGATGAGGTAAGCCATCGGATGACGGTGGAATAGGCTGCCTGACCACCAGGTGCAAGGTGTGACCATCCTCGACATCTACCTCCAGTTAAGAAGCTCAAATTCTAAATGAGAATAGATAATGATAGAAGCAAGAATACGTGATGCAATCCAATCTTCTATTCAGCAACCAATAATTAGCGGGCATAAGAAAGTCATTTCTTTAAAACTGATCAACACATGGCCGCCCGGAAAAGAAAACCAATAAAATCTAGTAGTTACTTTACAAATAAATATTGATATTAAGACAAATGGATACGGTATGCAGAAAGTAGTTCGTCATCTTTTAGAACTCTTCCACGACAGATTAGTCGCTGTTGCTCTGATAACACACCAGTTATAGAAGCAATCTGTGCTTTTAGTGCAGGAACTGGCATCTGTAAGGTATTCAGAGATAAGAAACAACACAGAGAAGCACAAATCTTAAACAATACCTCATATAAAATCAAGAACAAATACACTAGCATGTGCAGCAAGTTGATCAGAAGGAAATTAAAAGATTAGAAAACCTCAACTACCCACATAAATATCAGATTGCAAGGTAATAGTAGGAAGCTATCATATTATCATTGCTTGATTATTAGCAAAAGGAGAAACATGCTTAGAGTTAGGTTACCGATTCAAATTCTTCAAGAAAATGAATAAAGATTTTAAGCGAAGTCCGAGATTTGTCAAAACAAAGCTGGAATAGGACAAAACAGACTGGGATTGATTTACCTGTTTATTCACTCTCATAGTATAAGTGTGGGAATCCAAAGTTTTTATTTTTATTTCTATTGTAGTCTCAGAACCTTCAGTTTCAGTATCTACATCTACCGGAATTTTATCAGCACCAGTGCTTCCCATTTTCCTCTTACCAGACAGACACCTGTAATACAAAAACACGATGAAAATTCCATAGTGCGCAAAATTAACTTTTCTATTTTTAAAGGACAATCATGCTTCGTTAAATGAAAGCACCAAACACAAACTGTTCTTTTTCCCTTATAGGTTAGCCAGCTTATGTAATCTCAGCAGATCTGATGAAATTAATGATGAAATTAATGATGAAAGGACAAAATCAAATACAACCATGACAGACTTAAACAAGAGTAATAGAAAATTCTAGCTGAAAACACGTGTGATGACAAGTAGAACCCAGCCCTTGTCTCTGGTTTTGTAACTAGTTTGAGAGAAACCGAAAACGACACAAGGAATGAAATAATACAATAATAAGCACAGATAAATACCATGACAGACCACCAAACACAAACTATTTTCATCAACCAAAATTTAAACCGGACCCAAAACCAGGGATTAATCAAGGCTCAAGCTGATGGCTACAACCGGGATAAGATAGATCATATTAGGTAAGTCCGGTAACTTTCCTGGGGTGCACCGATCTACCACAAATATCTTAAAATTAAAGCAGTGCAGGGAAATTGAAATACAAGCACCCAAAAGGAAGGAAAACACAAAACTTCATATACGTTGCCGTTAGTGCAAAAACCAGAAACAAACAAATTTATTACACTTGGCAATATTCTTTATTCGTTACTTTACGACTCGAATCTCTCTTGCATCTTTACAAGCGTTTAAGATTCAGTATCTTGAAATCGATTAGACATCATTTCAAACATTAGTAAGTTGCCATTAACAACTGTATGCAAACATGAGAAGAATTCCAAACTCCTTTTAGAAAACATACATGAATGATTAGCACTACTCTAGCCTCATCAAAAAATTAATGAACATGTTCACATCCCACTATAATGTCCCTATCCTAAAACATTAAAAGCGCACCAAACAGTTTACATAAAAGTGTACTAAGCTCAAAGATGATTAAACAAACAAAGCCAAGTAATGATTTGCAAATAAATCAATATATATTGTAGCTCATTCAACCAAAATCCATTAGCAACTACAAGAACTAAAATCCCACTTTATGAACCTAAAAGAACACTGGTACAAAACAATGATCGATGAATTGTTGAAAGTCTTGGATTCTAACAACCAAATGACAACAAAAACAAATAAAAAACCCCAAGAAAGACTAAAGATCAAAACTTTGAAGAACCCAGATTAGATAGCCAAATCAAAAACCAAATTAATCGATCAAAAATGGGAAAAATCATCATACATGGACCAAACAACATAATCTGAAGTTACCAAAGGTGAGATATATACCTTGTTGAAGACGGAAAGAGGTCTGGGGTTCTCAACTGATAGAGGGAGAGAAAGATATATAGTCAAAGCCCAAATCGAATAGAGAGATATATAATGTTTTCTCGTCTCTCTGTACCTTCTTTTTCACTGCTTATTTATTTTACAATGTTTGCTTTTTGTGTATTACTTAGAGCTGATGTGTAGCGTTTATCTGTTCCTCTCTCTGACATTGCCGAGTGGCAATTAACTATTCTCGTCTGGACTTTGTTATGGAACGGCAAACCTTGCTGTGTAATTGAATATCTGATAAACTATATATTTAGTATCTAAACTATTAATTTTAGTATTTTATAACATCTAAATTTTAATGTTTTTTAAAATTATCTTATATATTTAGTTTTCATTTCATTTAATACTCAATGTTAAAAATTTAATACATTTAGTATCTAAATTATCAGTTTCGATTCGTTCTAGTACATTTTTTCAAAACATAAAGCTACATTTTGAATGAAGATACTAAAATGAAACTAACTAAAGTTTTTAAGGATGAGTATTAAAATAAAATAAAAACTAAATTTTAAATACGATTTTTAAGAAAATAAAATTTATATACTAAAACGAACCAAAATTAATAGTATAAATATTAAATGCATAATTTACCCTTAAATATTTGTCTTATCACCTAGAATATTATGAAAAAAAATTTACAAATTTTTAAATGAATTTCCCATTTTCAAGAGTTTTGGTTTTTCTCAAACTCAAACCCTTCTTCTCCTGCTATTATGGTCAACAGTCCTCACTCAAACCAGTCACTGATCCCAGACTCTCTTGCCTCTTAACTTTTCTCAACGATTCAAACCGAAGATTATTAGGAAATTAATCAAGGTAATTTTTTTAACGCTTAAATTTGTAGATATCTATTTGGCTTTGTGTTATATAATCTCCGGGTGTATTTGATTTCGTGTTTTCAATCGTGTTGTATGATTTCTGGCTCTGTTTTTCTTTATAGCTTCTACCTTTTTTCCCAGTCGCGTCTGGTAGAACAATCACTCAACACATTCTTGTTTCTCAATTGAAGCTCAATCCAGCAACTGACGACTAGATCGGCGTTGCTTTCGACACACTCAGGCCAGGAAGGTGAACCACATTCAATTAACAATGCCTAAAATATAAAACTTATTCCTGCTAATCCATAGACACTAGGATGACAATTTCGTAGATTTTGTATCGTATCTGCACTAATTGGGGCGCGAAGGATAGTTTAGTGGTAAGTGGGCGGCTGCGACGGTTAGGTGATGGGTTTAAGATCTTATCCACCCAGCATCTGTCTGCTCTGCTTCCGCCGTCCACTAACTATCAATTATGTAAAATTTGAACCATCATGAATTTAGTTATTATTCCAAATATTTTGTAAATATTAAGATCTTATAGTACATGACATGTAATGTAATCAAATATTATGGTATAAATATTTTTAAAATTGAAGTCAATCATTTTTTATATCTCAATTCGGTGGGTATGGATGGGTACAGATATGTACGGGATGGGTGGTAGGTAACCCGTTAATTAATGGGTGTGGGGATGGTTTAAGAATATACCCATGTGTACGGGTGCGGATTTAAAAAATTTACCTATCGTGGGTGGTGGGTAAGTTGTGGATACAAAAATATTTTGTAGGTATGTGGATGGAGGAAGGGGTATCGGCACCTGCACCACCTGTTTGCCATCCCTAATAGACATCATAAAGTGAGTATTCGATCAATTTGAGTGAGTTAAATTATTTTTTTTGACTTAGTGGAGTTAGCGAATCCTATTTTATGATCCAAATTTTTTTCGAGTCGAGTTTATGAAATTACGAGATTTTCTATTTCCGTTCATGTTATATGAGACTCTATGGCTCTGTTTAAAGGTTGTATTTCCCCCCTTTTTTTCAGTTGAGTTTGGTAGAAAAATCAGTTGATGGGAAAGAAAAAACATGGTAATGATACTTCGATGCCGGTCGAAATCAGCTCTTCGGATCCTGGTATTTCAATTTTTGCTTCTTCTTCTTGGTTTATCAATTAGAGATCTGTGTGTGGTTATGGAACTAATATTTAGAAGAATTATGCACCAAATATGCAACTTTTTAGATGAAGATATGAATTATTTTACTGGTAATTGGCTTTGAATTTTGTTATGAGCGTTATTATTAAATATGGACTGATCAAAAGCTGAGCTGACTGATAAATAGAAGTTTGATCCTAATCTTTATGTCGTGGCAGCCTATAATGGATATCCGATTTCAAAACACCGTTCGTGTTGGATTCATGTTGTAGGGTATTTGAGGGGATGCAGGAAGAAGATAAGTAAACAAGAACTTTGTGACATTAGATTAACTGCTCCATGTTTTTTAGATATCATTCCATGTCGTGCACGATCAAACAGACGATTTAAGGGCGAGAATTCGATATCTAAACTGAAAAACAAGCTAGACTCTGGATCGCTCGAGTGTTATATAAGGTAATCTATATTGTACTGTGATAGTTTTGAGTGTTTGGTTTTCCCTCGTTTCTTGTTTTGGAAGTTTTCTGAATGCGTTTTTTGAAATTTCAGGACCATATGGAGCCGTTTCCCGGAGAATAAGCGGACTTCGTTTACGTACTTAGATTGTCGATGGTTTGCATGGTATAGGAAAGCATATTATCGAAAAAAGGTTCTATCTTGGATTAAGAGGAAGGAGATATTTTCGAAGACATGTTCTTGTTCCGATAGTTTGCTGGTTGGTATTGTCGAATAATTTGTCGGTATCACAGCGATCAAACACCTTCGATTGTCTGTAAATGTGACTATCATTTAAAATTGTATTTCTTTAGGGATCATTGGAGCCTCGTAATCTTCTGCCATCTTGGTGAAAGTTTTCAATCTAAAACCAGAACACCTTGTGTGCTGTTGCTGGACTCACTGCGGATGTTGAACCCGACACGTCTCGAACCGGATATAAGAAAGTATATTTACTCATTCGCATAACTTGGATTAGTAGCCTAGTAAAGTAGCCACAATTTCTGATGTTGAATATGTATTTCTTGCTAGCAGGTTCACGTTCGACATTTATGAAGCCGAAGGCAGGTCCAAGAATAAGCAGACGATTTATGGAATTCCTCTTTTGGTCCCTAAGGTGATTACGGTACAATTTGTGATCATCTTTTACATCTCCGTTTGACCATTGCTCTTTTCAGGTGCCACAACAAAGAATGTGGGAACTTTGTTCTCTATTTCATAAAGTCTTGTCGAAAGCGCCCCTGAGAACTTTAGCATCGAGGGCTACCCTTACTTTGTATGCTTCTCGTAACGTTTAAAACGTAATTCTTTTCGAATGAGGACTATAAGTATGATGATGAAGGTATCTGTTTTACATTGGAGATGAAAAAGGACTGATTTGATGGTGAAGCCGTGGAACGCTTTTGCGAGAGGCTCGATTCTTCGGCATGCGATTTTCATTAGTTAGTTTTACATTTACAACGTCGGGATAACATTTTTTGAAAATCCGAGACCATAATCACTGTGATATGAGTTCCATCAACCTTGGAATCTTTGTAGTCCTTTGCAATCAATGGTGATGCACCAAAATTTCTTGAAAAATACTTTAGGGATTAAATTATTTTTTTTTAAAAATGAAGATTTGACGAGAATTATCAATAAACTTTGAAGGTTTGACTGGATATTTTTCAAATTTTGGAAGGCTTATAATTTATTTAAAAGTCGAGAATATTTAATTAAAAATGTTAAAAATTGACCTTAATAAGATTTTTTTAAAATTGAAATGAGTTAATTGTACTGCACATTCTTAAGCCATTACCTTGTTTTAAATTGGTCCCTAAACTTTTAATCATTCTAATTTCATCCATAAATTGTCTCTCATTCTAAATTAACCACTAAACTTTTGAGCATTCCAAATTCATCCTTAAACTATTCCCCAAACTTTAGAACATTCCAGTAATGTCCCCCAAAATCATTCAAAATTTTAGTGATGAAATTAAAATGTTCAAAAGTCTGGGGAACAACTTAGAATGAGTCACAATTTGGAATGCTCAAAGCTTAGATATCAATTTAGAATGAGAGTCATAGTTTGAGGATGAAACTATAATGATCAAATGTTTAGAGACCAATTTAAAATAAGGAACATAGTTTAGGGACATGTAGTACAATTAATTAGCATGAAAACATAAAATCTTTGGCATGGTAAGCACAAGTTGCAAATAACAAATACTTACTGAAAATAATTTTCACTTTACCAAGGCTCATCTCTGTAAATGTGATAAAAAAAGAAGGTGAATGAGGATTTACAGCATTCATTCTCTTGAATCAAAACCAGAGTGATCATCTGAGTCCCCTACCATAGTTATACGAGTGTCGTCGTCAACCTTGGTATCCTTCGGAAGGATATTGCAGTTAATGGTATGCCATACCGGTCTCTCTTCCTGGAATAATCTGCAAAATCAAGGATAACGATCGTAATTTATTTTTTGAAAACCAGAAAAATACGAAAACGGATCGGATATCCAACTTTTTTACTATCCATATCATCCCTAGTTTCTCCTTGCATTACACCAATCCATCACTTTTGCATTCAGTATGTCTGCAAGGATACTCACAAGTCACAACCAAGCCCAAATAACATATCTGTATATGAATATGGGGATGTGATCTCCAAGGATATTCCTCGAATAAATGGAAATTAAACTTACAAAAATCTTATCAATGTCGTATACATACCCGTATCCAATACTCACAGTAAATTCCAGATATCATAACTGTCATCTATCGAGATTTAAGGAAGAGTAAAGAGGTTTTCATTCATGTTTTACATACAGTTCCCATCACAGCATTCCTAATGGCAAATCTTTTGATCTTTTCAACAGGCACAATCAGCTTTAAAGAAACTAGTATCAAAAGCGTAATCTTAGAACTTAACGAGAGAGAGAGAGAGAGAGATACTCACGGGTGTTTACAGAGCATAGGGCATTGAATAGTAAGTGCATACTTGCACGTGGCTAACTCTGTAATCGAACTAATCATCGTTCTTGGCTCCGAGCACACAAATCTCACCTACAAACAATGAGAAACCTTTAGAAAAATAAGGCATCTAAAAACTAGAACAAAGGGGTTTTTTTCTCCCTCCAAAGCAAAACTAAAGACCATATAAACGTTCTCTACTTCATTGCTTCATACCTCAGTTTCTCGGGGTTGATTAGTAAGATCACATAAGGTTCCATTTGTATATTGATGAGCATGATACCTGTACAACACCAGGTGTGATTATTAGTCCTTTTTCTTCTTTTAATTCAATATAATAATTAGTAAAAACTGCCAATTTTAAGCCATACTCAAGTCACACCTTTTCGACGTGTCTTTTGAGCGAGGATCTTTTAATGTGGAGATGTCAGAGAGATTCTGGTTGAAGGCAGCAGTGGCCTCTTCATCATAAACACCCAAGACAAACTCCTGAACCACCTGCAATGGTTATTTAACAAATATTCTCAACGCTTTGTATGAACTAGATCTTTGGTTCCGAGTTAAGAACATGTCAAGAAGATAATTAGTAAAAACTACCAATTTTGTAACTATTATTGCTACTTAGATCAAATAGATTATGCAACCAAACAATCCAGTGCCCAAAACCATTTGTTTGAGTGTCCATAACAGGTTTTGCTTATATATTTACTGCAGTTCATTTCAGACAAGAATTAAATCACAAATAAAACACGCGAACCATTAAATAAAAGTACCTTAAATAAACTGAATTAAAAGGCTACCTTATCCTCTTCCAAATGGAGTTGCCTCAACTGTTTTTGATAGCAAAATTCATATGACCACCAACCCTCTTGCTGCATAAAGAGCTGACAGCATAAGCTAGAGACAGATATGAAAATATGCAGCACAGAATTATTAATTTTTTCCCTATATACTGTACGGTGACGGCAACAATATATAGCATAGGAAATACCAAACAAACAGTTTGTAGGAACCAGATGCTCACTCTGATAAAGCATTGATATTTCAGTACTTCCAGTAGCTCATTTGGGGTCTTCAGTTTAACCCGTTTCTCGGTTTCCACAATCAAGTTACTCGTGTTCTGATGAGTAACTGTTTTTTTGGCTTTCTCCACCTTTGGCAAGAAACATAAAAAGTTATTTCCATCTTTGTTAGGCATAACAACAGACTCCTGGCCATCATCCTGCAAAACATTACAGGCATTACATTATCAAACAAATGGATAAATCGACATAGAACTTGATAGATTCACATGAAAGGAAAAAAAACCAGCCAAATAAAGTAACAAGTACATGAAAGTATTGAAGTAAATACCACACCAATTAAGTTGAGGATTACCTATAACAAGGTCTACTTCACCTATTGCCAATTCATTTTAGGTTAGATATACATTCAAAATTTAACATGATATCAAATAAGGTGTAACCCTGTTAGTTAGCCCTTCCATGACAGGCCATTGTCCCTACATGCAAAGTTCATGTCAGGTGATAGGTATGTTATCCCTACAAAGTCATCAGAGTACCAAAGAAGTGATCAAGTACATTCCACATTGATTCAGGGTAACCCGAGCAGATGAATAAAACAAGGGTCACTGCACCTATTGCGAAATAGTTTTAGAAGAAAACTAAGAAGTCTAGATTTCATTATTCTTATACCATTAAAATCAACAACCATCTTGTATAGAAATAAAACTAAGCTGCACCTCTACTCGCAATGCAAATACATGGACATGATTTTGAAGTATTGACTAAGATGCAATAAAGCAGGAAAGAACTCCAATGCTTGATCCGAAGTAAGACTGAAGAGAACATATATGTTAGAAAACCCTAAGCTTACTTACAGGTTGGTAGGGCGAGTCTTCTGTATGAAACTCAATCTTGTATTTTGGTTCACGGGAGCTACGGCCGAATGAGCCAGCTGTTGATCAGAGAAGTGTCAGCAGGCGGGGAAAACTTGAAATCAATGGAAAAATATTAAAAAAAGATAGTAAGACAGAGCCAATACACTCTAACTGGGTCAAGAACATAAGCCAACAATATAAAATTGACCATGCAGGTTAGCTATGTTCCATGATATCTAATTGGGAGAAAAACGGAAAAAATGAATCCCACATTGTTACCGAAAAGATCGATCTCCGGTCACCGGAGGACAAAGGATGTCTAATGTTTGCACCATTCTATTACAACACTGAAACCACTATTAAAAATAATTCGGTTATGCATTCCATTTCGGACAAATCACACTCTATTTAAGAATAAACAAGGAACCTTGATCGGGAAAATCTACATTAGTTGCTACTCATTTTCAAGAAACAAACACTGATTAATCTAAAACAAAGCAAAAGAAGAAAAATATTGATTGTTTAACACATGAAAATGAAAATGAAAATGAAAATGAAAGAAAACCCAGAATCAATACAAAATTAAGATTGATCATACAAAAGAAAAGATATGAAATTTACATTAAAAAAGAGGGTATAGTTGTAGAGAGGGAGAGAAACATGGAGCTACCTACGTGAGATGATGGTAAAACGAGATCGGCGAAGACATTGATGCATAAGAAGAAGATACATAAAACCGCTACCAAACTCATATTTCTTTTCCCTTTTCGAGAGACGATTGGTTCAATTTCATAAGCTCAGCCAGATGAAGAAGCGTGGCGACTGGCGAGTCGGTTGAAGACTATACTAAAACTATTATATGAACTATTAGATTAATCAATAAAATTATTTGTTATACTGGGTCAAGAAAACTCAGAAACTACGAAGGTTGCCCAATGGACCGGAAGTAGAATCCAACCAGTGGGTTAATTTGTGCTCAAAGCTTAAGCCCAAGCAGCGTTTTGCAAGTTCAATTCCATTGACACTTGGTTCATAATTATTTATTGTTATACAAGGTTAAATCATGTATTTAATATATAAATTATTAGTTTTTGTCTATTTTAGTATTTAAATTTTTTATTTTTTAAAAATCATGTCTAATGTTTAGTTTTCATTTCACTTCAGTACCCGTCGTTAAAAGTTTAATGCGTTTAGTACTTAAATTATCAGTTTTGGTTCATTTTAGTACCTAAACTTTCATTTTTTTTTTCAAAACTTAACGTTAATTTTCAAATTGGGTATTAAAATGAAATAAAAATTGAAGTGTTTATCTTGATCACATTTTTTAAGTTTATGATCCTCGTGATAACAATCGTCATGACAACAACATCTACAACTAAAGTGTTTATATGAAATTTTTGAAAAAAAAATATTGATGATGAAAAAAGTAAAATAACAAAAGAGAAAAGTGAAATGGTTGATCAAAATGGTCAACCGATATTATATCAGTCGATTTAATATATCACGTCAACATTTTGTTATTTCAGTAACTATTATTAATAATGAATAATCAATTTATTATAAATTGATAATGTCAATGATCGAATTATCATTTCTGAAATATCAATGGATAAAAGATAGATTTATTAACGTCTATGATCATGTAATGTAGTTTACCCTTTTTAGTTTCACCTCCGAGTAAAATGAAATTATCGAAATTGATGTCAGGAGTGAGCGTTCGATCGATCGAGTCGAGTTAAGTAAAAAAAATTCTGACTTATTCGAGTTGACGAGTCTTATTTTATAACTCGAAGCTGATTTTAAATTTTTTTCGAGTCGAGTCAAATTTTCAAGTTTCTATTTAAATTTAATTATAAATATTTACAATATTATTACATTATTTGATTCCAATTTAAATGGTATTTTTCATATTTTTTTATATGTGATTTATATATACCATACAAAGTCGAGAGACTCGATTAAAACTCGACTCAAACTTGAAACCTAGTTTACTAATTACTAAAAATTTTGAGTTATTCGAGTTGTATTTTACAACTCGATTTGAGCTTGAAAATTTTTCAAGTTTAGTCGAGTTTATGAAATTACAACTCGAATTCAATTCGAGATTAATTAAAAAAATTAATTTTTTGAATCAAACCAAGTTCTTATGGGAGAACCGCATCGAGTTGAGGCTGCAAGAAACATCCAAGGTTAAGGGGGTCAATATCGTTCAAGTGCAGTGACGATGGCGTTGCTAAGTTCGATGGGGGAGAATGTCACGGGCCATGAGATCGAGCTCGGGACATTGGCGCAAGGGCCCGCCAAAGAGATTCAATTTGGAGTATCGGACTTTTCAAGGTCACCAAACTTGGCCCATCACTTAGAGAATGCTAGAGAGTCCATTCACACTACAAGTACAAATATGAAAAGTGGCGTCATGTCGAAATATGATCAAAATAGCTTGGTAGATATGACAAGAGACAACAATTAGAGAATATTGTAGAGGATTCTTACCATACCAAGTGTGAACACCTATCCAATGAAAGAAGAAGACTAATTGATTGATTTTCCTTATATTGGAGATTTCTAATAAGTGGGTTCATCATAGGTGTTGATGTACATAGATATATGTCATCGATTGTGAGGGAGCTTAAGTATAAATAGAGTCTCCTGTCCTCATTTCTATCATTTCATTTCATTCCTTTCATTTTCTTTTGAGAGAGTAACAAAATTCTGAGACATTTACTCTAAGTTTTATTGTCCCTTTCTGTTGTTCTAAGTGTTATAAGTTCTCTTTGTACTAGCTTCCTCTCTAGGTGGCTAAGAGTAGCCCCCGTGGTGTTTACGCTTCCACACGAGTGTTCAACTTTGGTGGCTTGAGTGGTCACATTGTGTTAAAACTTCTGCATCATTTCGAAGCCTTAAGGGCTTAATCCCTGCCTTTGTTGAGTTGGTGTTCTCATAAGGCGTGGTATAAGGTTGACTTAGGCACGGAATCGAAAAAATGTCGTCAAAGAGTGCCTAAGGCTGCATGAAAAGATTGATCACACAAAAGAAAATATACGAAATTTGCATTAAAAAAGGGTATAGTTATAGAGAGGGGGAGAAACATGGAGTTACCTACATGAGATGGGAAAATGGGATCGACGAAGACATTTTTGCATAACCAAAAGATACATAAAAATGATACCAAACTAATCAACAATCTTATATTTCTTTTCCCTTTTCGAGAGACGATAACTTCAATTTCATATGAAAATTTGAATGTCGCAGAGTTTTGCTTGATGAAGAAGAAAGGATCGTGGATCGACTCAGTTGAAGACGATACTGAAACTACAGAGGTTGCCCAATGGACCAAAAGTGGAATCCCACCCAATGGGTTAATTTGCACTAAAAGCTTAAGCCCAAACAAAGTTTTGAAAGCAGGGATGGGTACAAGATCCGAACCCGATGGATTCTGACCCGACCCAACTCGATCGGATAAGATTTTAAAAAAAAATCGGTTTCGATTCGGATTGAATTTTTTAAAAGGAAAATATCATTCTTACCTAATACTTTGATACGTTGTAGTTATCAAACTATTAGTATTATTCTATTTTGATTCTTTTCTTGTTGTATTGTTAATTATATTAACTCATATTAAGGATTAGTGATGAATTTATTGTAAATAGATAATATTAATGATTAAATTATTATTTTTAAAATATTAATAAAAAATAAATTTATTTAAATATAACAATTTTACTTATTTTAATTCTAACTCTGACATAAACTGACAACTTCAATAATAAATAAATTGTTATTTATTGATATCACAAATTTAAGTATTAGAAATATATGAATAATTATTATCTGAAAGTTATCTTTAAATAAATACGATTTTACGCTTAACTCGTTAATAAAAAAATTTAAGCTCCGAGTAAAAAGTACTCTGCTCAGTTGGTAGAACACAAAGTTCTTAATTTTGAGGTCGTAGGATCGAGTCTTACGTAAGATATTTCATAATTCGAAAGTCTTATACGAAAGTTTGTCACAAACTAATGTTTGAAAATACTACTATCTTACCTCCCTTACCCCGTAACCCGATACAGCCATTTTTCTCTTTTAATTCTGGATAATTTGCTACAATTTTGTTCGTTTCAATTGATTACAATGGGAAAGAAAAAGAGAAGTTCCCAACTCAATAACGCCGACCTCCCCCCTTCTTCGGGTATGTTCCTATTTATTCATATTTTGTTTCAACAACGAAAGTTATTTGTTTTTGTGAAATAGTTTATAAATGAAAAGTGTTGGCCAATTTTGTAAAAAATCGGTGCTATAATTTGGGTTTCTGTTCAAGAAAAGGGAATGGGGTTTTCTGATTTGTTGCAATTTTTAATTTTTTAATTGGTTTTATTTTCTAGAATTGTTAATTGAATCTACTATTGTAGTTAATGTACTGAGAATGCTTGTTATTGATGTTTTTTGTTTGTTTGTTCAGAATATTTGACATGGATTATGTAGTAAATTTCTGAGATTTTATGAGATTTGAAGTGGGAAGAAGTTTATTTTGCTGGTAAATAGGCTGGAGAATCATATACTTTATCTTTTAAAACTTGAAATCAGAAAGTAAGGGCAAAAATATCCAATAATATTCTTTGTGTATGATGCATTTGCCTCTGAATGATTTTAAGCACACAGCTTTGTTTTGCGTCGTTGCCATTCGTAGTAAGATCATATCGGCCTGCTTTCTATTTGGTAGCTTAGTTAGATCATATTGGCCTGCTTGCTATTGTGAAGCTTAGGCTGTTGAATGTAGCAAACCATCGTGCTTGGTCATCCTCCTTAAAGGTTCATCAAATTCGAATCATTGCCAAGTGAGCTTCGATTCCATTTTCGTCAACCTTTAGGCCTTCGATATTTAGTTGATCACCTGTTTATGTTTGAAAGGAAACTGCAATAATCTTTCTTTTCTGTTTCCTTTTTACTTGTCTTTTAAGTGTACCGTTTGTTCGCACCACTCCTTTGCAAACCGCTTCATTCTTTTCTGCATTCTTATCATTGTTTCTGGTTTAACGTAGTTCTGCCATCTTGATGTGGGTAGAATGTAGATGCTATGTTACTGAAACTCGGGTGCGAGTGTTGGATAAGGGCATGTGTCCCACACGAGTGTGTTTAATCTTTTCTAAGTTTTCGATATATTTGAAAGGTACTTTGTCATCTCCTAGAATATGCTGCATATAGGTACTTTAAGAAAATTGAAAAGTCATGGCAACATTGATTAGATGAGATTTTGGTGATTTTCTTGGTCTCAGTATATGAAATATGTTCATGTGATGGAAATTTTGCCCCATCTTTGGCTTAATAATCTAAATTGGCTATGAATTCTCCCTTTGCATTTAAATGTAAACAATTAGGACGAAAATAATCATTGTACCTTTTGTTGCATATTGCAGAAGACATGCCGTGCTTGTCTGGGACAGTGATATTATCCAAAGAGGTTTTGTTCGCTTCCTCATTCATATATGAAAAATCATTCGTTCCCCGGTGTTGTCTTTAATTTTTTAATTTATAGTTCCAAGACATCTTTTTTATACTGTTTTTCCTCCATTGATGTGTCAACTGAATGCTCTGCATTTTTCGTTGATTTTTTTCTCTTTTGTCGCTTTCTTTTATAGCATTCTTCGAATTTGGATGCTGGCATTAATGTTGGAGATAGTTCTGTCAAGCTCCTTAATTCCAACTCTTCTGTTGCTCATCACCGTTACAATCTTGGGCGTTCAATATTTTTGAAAAGATCACGCCATTACTATGGTCATCACCACTCGCACCGAAACTCCGGCAGCCTTTCAAATCCATCAACTTCTCGTGGCTTGATTAGTCCTTTACTTGATGAGAGGTTATCCTTCAAGTGTGCTCATTACAAACCGGATTCAGGACACCATGCTGGTTGTATGTATCTTTATTTCATCCCTACAATATGTTCCATAGCATTTTAACTTGCATATTATCGTTTTTATCTCATCTAGATCATTACATCCAGAAACTCTGCAAATTTTAGAACACGTGTATATATATATATATATTTTAAAGAATTGGAATTATTTAAGCTTCAAACTAAGTGTTGCTTGTTCTTTTACTTTCGGTGTTGGCCAGTGACTTCAGTTTACGAATTTATGCAGATGGTAGGGAAAAAGCATTTGGCTTTGGCAGACCAGAAAGAATTAGGTCTAGTTCATTGGTGATGGATGTCGTATCATCGGACAAGGTGAAGGCAGTTTGTGGAATATGTCAAAAGCATTTCAGACGGAAACCTTATTTTCTCGGGAATTCTCTGGCTTCTGGTGAATTTTCTGTTGTGGCAGTTCTAGTTTGTGGCCACGTATACCATGCAGGTTGTTTGGAAGAGAGAACAAGCTTGGAGGACAGACACGATCCGCGGTGTCCGTTATGTTCGTCTTCACCGTCACTAATTTGATACTTATAGCGAGAAGTGATTGTAGAAATATCGACATGTTTATCGTACTAATTTAGGGCATGAATATAGGGTGTTCGTGTATGATCTAAGCTGCAGTTTTACTGATTAGAATCTTAACCATGCAATTGTACTGCTAATGTTACAGATAGTTGGCAGACATTAGAGCTTGGAAATGCTCATGTTGCACCTTTTAAACCCTATTCGTTTGGCAAACATGGAGCAGCAGTATAGTTTTTCTTAAGAGGCATTTTGCTTTAGGTATACTTCTAAATCTGTTATATACTTCATTCAGATTTCCTCTCAAGTCTCTGAATAAACTCTTCTAATTGAATCTTGCAGAGACTCAAATCCTTCTACCAATAACAACTTTTGATATAATCTCTAACAGACTCACGTGATCTATATAGTCTGTCAAAGTTCAGACAGTCATACCTATTCAACTAGCTAGTATGCAAGTAGCAATCCCGGCCCTTGTTGACCTGACACCACCATTAAGAGTCCTTATATATAAACCCCTTACGCTAGACAAAGGGATTCTATTTTCTCGTTAGATTCTCTTTGTTAACATCAACCAAACGTCATTATTGGTCTATAACTCCATTCTAAATTATCGATTACAACTCTCAGCTCAAATCAAAAGAAATAAATTATCTTTCATCGTCATAATTCAAATTTTACCTTTAACAAAATATTTAAACATAAAATTTTCCATTCTCAAACAACGGTATCTTAAACCCTAAAATAATCAACCCGATCAAATTAACTTGATTAATAAACAAAAAGTTGATTTCATTTTTTGTGATGGGAATGTGATTGAATATTTTAAGTTAATTAAAGTAATTTTTTTCAGAAGGTTTAAATTCAGGGACCGCGTGGCGCAGTAGATTTTAGAAGTTATAAAATATGATCTCAAAATCTTAAACGACTATCATATCTCAGTTATCATGTCAATGTCAAACTTAGACAACCGTCAATTTTTAACGAAAAAAGACAAGTTTAGATCATAATAAATAGTTGAGTGGTCATTTTATGAATTTTAATAGTCGATTGACTTAATAAAGTAACATTCTATAATCAAATGACTATTTTATAATTTTTGAAAATCAAAAAAATTAATAAAGTAATACTATATAGTCGAGGGAGTACTTTAAATCTAATTACTTGATAAAAATAAGATGGACCTATAATTTAATGACATGGGTTGTAATATACCCAATATAAAAAGGAATACAATCGAGGAAAAAATAAAATAAAGGTGGACTCTTGTCCTCACTAACATGGTCCATCACTCCCATTCAATCATTCTCAGCCGTTGATCTTCCCCTTCCAGGTCCATGACCCATATGTCAATATCTAGGGTTTCCATTTCCTACACGATCCTCCCATCTCCCGCCACCACAATGTCTTCCAAGATCAACGGCCGACTTTCGCCTCCGCCGTGTCCCCACTTAATCGACTTTCGCTCCCGCAACGGCTCAAAGCCGTTTCGCGCCCTCCAGGACTGCATCCGCGTCAAGCCGCCAGGAGGTCGCGCCGCCATACGAAGGGAACCCTCGGAGTTGCCCCGGTGCGGCACTTGTCATGAATCCTCCTGTCCGAGGCTCTATGCTTGCGTCTCCTGCGCCGCCGTGTTTTGTCACGCGCCTCCACTTCATTCTCACGCGACGGCTCACGCTCTTTCCATCCCCGGCCACGAGATCGCTGTCGATGTTGACCGCGCTGAGCTGTTTTGCTTCGCGTGCCGTGATCAGGTATACGATCGAGACTTTGACGCCGCCGTCGTCCTCGCTCAAACCATCACCGCCACCACCTCCATGTCTGGGTCCACCGTAACGCAATGCAAAGCGGCCGGATCTCTACCTGAAAGTCTTAGAAAGTGTCGCCGAATCGATTATAGCATGCGGGCTCCAAATTCAAGAGAAAACACCATAATCGAAAACCATTCGATCCCTCTCCACGATGCGACCAACGTTTCATTGATTTCATCGATAGAACTACCGTGGGGATTACGCGGCTTGAATAATTTGGGTAATACTTGTTTTGTGAATTCAGTTTTACAAGCATTGTTCCATACGCCGCCATTGCGAAACTATTTCTTGAGCGATCGGCATAATAGATATTATTGTCAGCAAAAAAATGGTGCTATCAATGGTTCCAAAAATTCAAGGTTCTGTTTGCCCTGCGATATGGATGCCATGTTTTCAGCTGTTTTCTCGGGCGATCGGACTCCATATAGTCCAGCTAAGTTCTTGCACAGGTTAATTTTGGATAAAAGAGTTGATTTCCCCTCCTCTTTTCTTTACCATATTGAATTACTGATATTGTATAAGTTAGTATTTGCTTTGAGGTCAAAAGTAAGGTGTGAGGCTAATTTGATAAGATTTTTGCAGTTGGTGGCAACATGCGGCAAATTTGGCGAGTTACGAGCAGCAGGACGCTCAATTTTTCATTTCCGTGCTTGATGGAATCCATGAAAAGGTGGCAAAGGAAAAAGGAAGGCACACAGTCCAGGTGACTAGCTTTCTTACTGTTCAAGGTTGTTGTAGTGAGTAGTGACTTTTGAGTTACCAAGGTGTTTATCTTAATTCTGTCTTTGATAGTGTCGTAATAAGTAAAAACGAGTACTAGCTGACATGCACCGGTATCCATGTTATATGTAAGTCCTGAAGGATATGGTAAAACTTTGTTTGTTTGTATTGGTTGGTTTTCGATTGATGGATTTGGTTAGCAATCTTCAATTAGTCTGCGTAAATGATGGTGGAGTGTTTAGTGGCCAAATTTTATAGTTACCGATAGGTTGATTGAATCCGGAACAATTTATTTGACTAACTAGAAAGGATCACTGCAAGGAAGGATCTGAATGAGGAAATTATGTAGAGCAAATGAGCATCTACTGTTAGTCTATCCCTCGCTTTACATTTTTAGCATTTATATTTTTAATTGACATCATCAAAGATTTTACTAAAGCATAAGTAACTCCAGTTTTTAACTGCAGGGCATGAGTTTAGGCCCCTTCTTTCTTGCCCTAGTTGTTGACAAGAGCTCTCAGATTTAGTACTGCAGGCTTGATGATGTCAACTACTGTACTCCTGTAAGTCAACCTTCCTTGGCCCACTTGATTTCATCGTAGGAATTTCTTACCTCTCCTAATTCTCATGTAGTCATGGTACTTCCCTTTGCCATGTAAAGGATCTTATCATCTGACTTGGTTGATCCTTATCTCAGAAAAAGTAGAGTTGCTTTAGTTTCAAAACCTGGATCAACGCCATTTTTGTCTTTTGGGTCATATTGTTTCTGAAGAAAAATTCTTCAAATGCCATGGGTTGGCAAAGAAATCCGGATTCTTTTGAACTTGATGAAGTTGTCTTCTATATTGTTCCAACTTAAACCATATTTTCTTTATCTCTTACTCATTTTCTTTCTTGCTGTTTTCCGGCAGTGTTAGAAAAGTCTAAAATGACTTCATGTGTGTTGAGAAGAGATATTGTGGCAGGAAACTCGAGTTAAATTATAAAAAGACCTAAGAAATGCTAACCATAAGTTGTCATTGAGCAATAGCTGGGCCACAATGATTTTGCATTTAAACCCTTTGTATCACCCAATTCAGCTTTCGCTGGTAAAGTTGAGTGCAGAACTAGCTCTTTCTTCCTTGTTCTATTAAATGAAGGCCTGAAGGGGAGCATCTGATATGGAGTTGCTTTCTATTGAATTTACCCTTGACTACTTTTTGTAGAATCATGTTTCTCTCAGTTTTTGACACTCTCACTAGGAGCTAATTAGCTTGAGCCATTAATATTTGAATGCATGTTTGAGTAACTAGTTGCTTATCGGAAATGAGGAGCTAGTTTTAGTTGCTTGTGATGCTGTTCTTTATAAATGGAAAGTTTTGGATGATAATGTATCTCTTCTATTGGATTTTCTTAACTAAATTCCTTGATGATGCAGGCACGGGTGATTGTTGCATTGCTCATAGAGCATTTTCTGGTATTCTGCGGTCTGATGTCATGTGCATGGCTTGTGGTTTCACATCGACCACATATGACCCATGTCTAGACATTTCCCTGGACTTGGAACCGAATCGAGGGGCTTCTGGGAAATCTTCCGCAAAAGCCAACAATTCTTGCAATGTCGAGGCAGATTGCATGGGTTCAAGCCGAAATGGTGGGATGTCTACTTTAAAAGGTTGCTTGGAACGATTTACAAGAGTGGAGAGGTTGGGTTCCGATCAGAAATTTTTCTGCCAAAAGTGTCAGGTGAGACAAGAGTCTCTTAAGCAGATGTCTATAAGAAAGCTTCCATTAGTTTCATGCTTTCATATAAAAAGGTTCGAGCACTCCTCAATAAGAAGGATGTCGAGGAAGGTTGACCAGTATCTGCAGTTCCCATTTTCATTGGACATGGCTCCTTATCTCTCCTCATCCATTTTGAGGAGTCGGTTTGGAAACAGGATCTTCCCTTTCAATGGAGATGAACAAGATGCACCCAACGAGGTATCATCCGAATTCGAGTTGTTTGCTGTTGTCACACACTCAGGTAGATTAGATGCCGGCCATTACGTGACTTACTTGCGATTAAATAATCACTGGTACAAGTGTGATGATGCTTGGATCACTCGAGTTAACGAGAGCATCGTGCGTGCTGCACAAGGGTACATGATGTTTTACGTGCAGAAGATGCTATATTATAAAGCAAGCGAAAAGCAAGATGCCTCGTGGTGTGACGTTCAGAGATAAGAATTTGGTTTTTTTTTCCGGTTCAAATCATGTAGGGGCTCAAAGATGGCTCGCTACATTGTTTGAAGATATGGTTACCATGGAGTTACAGATCGGATGTGATGGCTAGTTTTGTATACGATGAAAACAAGTTTCATCGAGTCGCTCTGCGCGTTGGCAAAATTCCGGGCTGCTTTTTGCTTTCGGAGCACTTAATACCCGATCAGATCGGAGTGTTAAGTGAGCCTAAATTTTTGAGGCACTCAGGGAAATCAATTTTATAAGATATGAATTCTG